ATCTCAAGTTTGGCCCAAAAGTGAGTATTTGTGCAGCAAAAAACAAGCACAGGTTTCACATTAAAGAGGTTTCATTATTTTTAGTTTAAGAACACTGTTAATGCATATATACAGGCCTATGCATGAAACAAATATAATAATTTCATAACTTCTGGCCTATATTTGAGCCTGAATGTGCTGGAGTTCCCCAAGGCCTGAAAAATATTTCAAGGGTTCCTCCAAGGTCAAAAGGTTGAGAAAGGCTGTTCTAGAGGCTTCTGGACTGTGTCAGTTCATAGTTAAGATTCCAGGTTCCCATCCTCCCCCCTCAGTGAAAGAGGGGGAAAAACCTGCAGATAGCAGATGTAGGCTTAAAAAGCAGGTTTCTTTTCTATAAGGAAACCCTCCACTCAAAAATGGAAGCCAGATGTACTGACTGCATAGTGTTAGCTGATCATGTAATAATTATTGTCAGCCATACAACTAATATCAAATGATAAGTGGAACCTGCCTTTGGCAAGTGGTTTAATTTGCTTTGACACAGCTTTAACACAACAATATTATGCAAAAAGAGTGGATAACACCATATATTACTAATACTTTATACAATTCTGTATTTGCCTCTATCATCCTTAATTATACCAATAAAATATAATGTTTTGCAAGATTACCTAAGTATATTTCTTGAGCTACCTTTCCCAAAACTCATTTGGTATGTCTTAGGATAACAAGCCTTAGGATAACAATTCCAAAGTACTCACATAGGGTCATCATCAGGTTCCCATCCCTCTAATTCTTTAAAGCATATGAAACATTGTGCCACATCAGGTGCATTCTCACCAGGACAGTGAATGAATCCAGCTTCTGCCATCTGAATTGGGAAAGGGGGAAGAGAGAGAGAACAAGATAATAAGAAAAAAATGTTCAATTAAGTTATACATGTCAGGTTATACATATTTCTGAACTGGAAGGGCTGTAGTTGAAAAATGATTTCATTGCAGGTCTCCTTGGCTCTAAGTAACTTCTGCTCTCTACCCTGTTACAAATATATGAAAAGAACAGAAAAAGAATGGCAATACTATTGTGTGTACTGTTCCTATTTCAGGTCTCTAAGATTAGCTAACACACACATGCATAAAAAATCTTTAAATAATTGATGGAACCAAGTTAAGTAAAACAGATTTTAAAAAATAAAAGCACATTTTTAAAATGTCTAACATATAATAACTAGGTTAACATTATTAGCCTGTATCAATTCACTAAAGGATGCAGGCCTCTTCACTGAAAGTTATGGACCATGATCAACCACACTGGTTCAGTACAGTTGGTAGATTGATGTTTTTTGACTTCCCAGTCTAGGGGAGGACTAGATCCTGAGTCTCACCACTCCTAATCCAGCATTTTAATCACTACACCATGTTGGCTGTCAGGTTAACATTAATTAATTATAGATGGCTATATAAACATTTGACCTATAATTTCTCAAATGACTCAAAGTTGGCTAGTTATATTAAATCTATTACAGTAAATACAGAAATAATATTGTGGTTGGTTAAAGACTAACAATATTATAGCATAAGCTTTCATAGACTATGGCCCACTCCATCATATGCATGCAATTGACAGAGAAGTATTACTGTACATATTTGTCAATGGCAATAATAGTTTACTTGAGAAGGAAATAAAAAGTAGGAAGTGCATACAGCAAGAATTATCTATAAATAGTACTTATTCACAAGAGTGGGGAAGGAGCTTTTCCATTTTAAAAAGTATCAATCTAATTCTTTCTCAGGAGTAAATATTTGGACCCAACCAACCATATGAATTCCATGTTAAACATGTTCACCTGATTCAAATGAACTGCTGTATCTGCCTATTAACTACCAGATTTTCCTTCTATCTAAAAATCATTTCACTTTCATTGTTAAATGTGCTGGTTGCAAGAAATGGTCTTTATATTTTAGAAATATTCTCTACATTCATTAAAAACATAATGTAAAAAGTGGTATAAAGAGAGGCAAAACCTAGTTATAAGAAAATAATTCCCGTTTAAGTAATACTGTAATAAATTAACATACTGCAGTGATCAGATATAAATCATTGTTTAACATACAAAAATGTCAATGTTAAAAACTTGATAGAATTTACTGCATATGGAGATCAGGATTGTGTTGATCCTTTCCTATTGAGTGTTTATTGACAATGTGAAAAGGAGTGCTATTTTAAGATCAACAAAATAGGTAGATTAGAATAATTTCTTTTTTAAGTCAGGCTGCTATCTTGCAAAATTATTTTTAGCAAGAGTAAAAGCTGGAGAAAAAGGTATATAATTCAATTTTAAAAATTGTTGTTCTGTGTTCTCTGTGGTATACCTGTGCTATTCAATGCCCTCTATGATATACCTGTCAGAATGCTGGCACAGTAATCTAAGGGATCCTTCTTCATCTTAATGTAGAATTGGACTACAACTCTCATCTTCTACAGGCCAACACATCCAGAAGATATCATCTTGGTTATGATATCAGGATGATGGAATTGAGTCTGCTTTGGTTATCTTGCTATATAACCTCACAGTAATTGGGTAGAATGAGTGCAGCTCTATTTATCCTTCTGGACCATTCAGTAATTTATGAAATTATCCACAATGGCATTTCTCTAGACTATTTGGCAAAGTTAAGTCTTGGGATACAACATTACATTGATTCTGATCCTGAATCTGGATAGTGGAACAAGGCAAATAGTTTTGGTAATCATAATCTTAGGCCCCCAATGTTCCATACAAGGTCTCTGGGAAAAATAATTTAGAATTTGGGAATGAAGAATCACAAATAAGAAGATGATGCTTAGTTCTTCCTTTGCCAACGAATGCCAAGGAAGAAGTCACTATATTTGAATATTGTTTAGATTACATACTGGCCTGGATAACCCTGAATAAACTGAGATTAAACCAGGCAGATTACATAGTCTGATGGCCAGCAGAAAACTCAATTTAAGGATTCAAATGTAACCTTGATCTGGAAAGTGATAACTTCTCTTTCTCAGTTCCAGGGCTTGGAACTCTTTGTTGCTGCACTGTCCCTGAATGTTTACTTAGCAAAAACAGCAAGGAGTGCACTGCAAGTGACTTTAGTGGAGCTAGTGTAATCTGGCATCAGTTACCCATACCAAGGTTAAATTACACCTAGAATATGGCAACATGCTCTAGGCCAATGGCTCTCCAACATTTTGGTCTCAAGACCCTTTTACATTTTAAAAAATGATTGAGGAACCCAAAGAGCTTTGGTTTATGTGGGTCATAACCTGACATTTACTGTATTAGAAATTAAAACTGAGAAATTTTAGAATATTTTACTTTGCACGAGGGGCCTCCAGACCAGACTTTGAGAACCGCCACTCTAGACAAAGTTCCCCTTGAAGAGCTTTTTGAAAGAAAAATATGGCACAGCTAGGCAACTAATTTGCGTGGCATAAAAGGATTGCATCCCTGGCATATTAAGAGCTGGTTCTTCCCCCAGGTGCTGGACCAGAACACCATATGAGATGGGTGTCTGGACACTGAGGGAGGGCATTTTATTGTACTGTGATGTTTTGAACCCTTGTTAGCCATCCAGAGTTGCTTGGCATATCAAATGAATAAAGAAAGACGCTTGCTCTTGTTGCCATTCGTTTGCCAGGCTCAAATCAAGAGGCTGGCTGGGGGAGACTTATAGAAGTCACAGTTTCACCAAACTGGCTGATCACATCAGTCTGCTCTAGCCTTTTTGGAGGGAGGGAGGGAGGGAAGGAGCAGAGCACCTGAGAGAAGAAAAGCCTTGCAATCTATGGTGTTTTTATCCCTTAAAAAAAAAATAAACTGTCTTCGTACTCTGCGCGCGGAACTTGTCTTTTGTGAATAAAGCAGGCTAGAAACACCTGCAGCTGTGTTTGGGAGTAAACCCATTCAACAGAAAGGGGCTCACTTCCAAGGAAGAAAAGGCCCCCGCCAGGACGAGAGAAGGAAAGAGGGCCACCACGGCTGGGGAGAAACGAGCTCCTCACCCTGTCCGGAGTGCAGGAGCAGTCAGAGACGAATGGCCACTGAGTGAACGTGGCGAGACGTTTCTCCTTCAGGTACAGCTCGAGGCCCGGCGGAACTTGCAGGCTCGCCTCACCGGGAGACATGGCGGTTTCCGCAGTTTTCAAACCACAGCGGGAAAAGAAGAGGCAAAACAACGGGCGTACAAGGCATGATGGGAAATAAGCTACGAAGCACCGACGTCGAAGACAGACGCCCGGTGCCACGCCCCCGCGGCGCTGAGCATGCTGGGAAGCGTAGTTCTTCTTACGATCGTAATTACCGCAAGCGACCTTTGTTCTACAGTTGAAAGCACTTGTATCTCAACAGCACCTTTTAAAAATGCCCCTGCAGAACCTTACTGATTTGTTGTACAATAAAGGTAAAACAAAATAAGGTCTCCAAGTTGGCATTTCAGACTAAAAAACTCCACTCTTTTGTATGTGGTGCAGCAATGGCAGAGCTCCAAGGAAACAATCTATACTGTACATTGCAATTAATATCGTTCAGAGGGAGACCGCTTTCTGTTTTTTGCAGCAATAAGAGGGAGGATTTTTGTGGCCCCTTAAATACGAACATTTTTTTAGGTCTGTTACTCAGCACTGGTCTGGGTAACGGCTGTGAAGCTGCGGTAGATGGCAGCACCTTGCTGACCTTGACTAATCTGAGTAAAAAGTTAACCAGGATTGGGTATGGTTAATTATTAGACCAGGAAATCCCCTGCTTGTAGGCTAGCCTAAGAAGTTGAAAAAGACAATCAAGAAGTCAATCATAAATCGCTTTCATACTGTATTGTGGCCCAGAAAATTACTTGCTGGTCCCCTAGGCACTATGAGTTGAGTTCACTTGGAGGGAGTCTTTTTAACACTTATTGAACAGGATAGGAATCATTTCTTATATTATCTATAAACACAGATGAATTTAAAGATTTTTTCCCCCTTGGCAATGCTCTAAAAAGGATCTTGGTGAATGCCAGATTCAGGTGGATCCTCAAGATCCCAAGAATCAAGTGGGATCCACCTGAAATTGCCATCAAACACAGATCACATCTATTTGTACAAAGGTACCCATAACAACAGGTCTATGGCATAAATCTTCCCAGAACCACATTTTTACAAGAAAGAGAGAGGAAGGTAGGTAGGTAGGTTGGTTGGTTTTTGGCAGAGAGGCAGTGGATTCAAGATGCAGATCCTTTTGAATTCTTCCAATGTACATAGGATCCATCTGAAAGTACCATTAAAACAGATCACATCCATCTGAACAGAGTGAGTTTTAAAAATCTCCCATCCAATTATTTTTAGGCAAGAATGGCAGAAAAATGCGGCTATAGTAGGATGAAAAAGAATTAGAACTGTGATTATTGTGGTTCATTCTTTGCAGACAGCTGTGATCTGTGCTTTGACAATGCTCTCAGGTGGAACCCATATACAAATCATGAGGACCCATAAAGAATAACATGGATCTTTTTATAATAAAGTTAAAGCAATATTTTACTTTTATTCAGATTACATGATTTGCCAAGGAGAGTGAGCACAATATACAGCAAAAATATAAGTGATATTTAAAGAAAAATACATCATAAGCCCACTGTCCAGGCTAATTCTATGCAATGTATTAGTTTTTTTCTTACAGTTCCATTGTTCTCTGGTAAGCACACCCTGAGCTGCAGTTTAGCGGTCCAACTGTAAATATAAATTCTTGCTTGTTGTTGTTTTTCTCTCTCCCTTTTGATCCCATTTTTGCCAGTTAACTCTTCCTGATCTTTGCTAATGTTTAATACATAGACATCAAGTATATTTTTGCTAGCTGACTTGAGTGGCTGTGTCCTTGCTCTGATCTAGATGTAGGGATTAACTAAGATTGTGCTGGGTGCAAACTAAACTGGAAATTAGCCACAGTAATTTTCCAACAAAAATTGCTTTGAGGTAGGAGGAAAATGGCCCAAATGATTCTTTCCCCTTTTTATGAAGACATATATAGCCTCCACATGTACAGGGAGCCACTGCAAATCAGAACAGATACCACTGAGCTAATACCATAGTTTTACTACTCTGAATAAGACGGCTTTATATGCACTCCCAGAACATCAAATATGCAATTGCTGTTCAAAGGGAAGAAAACTCACCTGCAGTTTGAGACTAAAGTGAAATAAAGAAAAGTGGTAATTTATGCAGCAATTTTATCTTGCCTGAATCTCACAGATTCATTTCCAGGCTGCATCCTGTGTGCCAGGTGATTTACAGCTACGATAAAGATGCAATTGGCTATGGTTTTATTTAATGTTCTCATCTCTCATGCCATAATAGATGTCACAGTGTGGGAGCAGAGGAGGGCTGTTTCACAGTTCCAGGGGCAGATCTCTGGTCTCAATACATCTGCAGCTGAGAAAGGAAAGGGGCAGGAAGCTCACTCCTTGTTTGACCTAAAAGAGCATGATGGAAAGGCAGTGGAGAAGGGGACAGCAGGCAGATAGCTTTGTTCCTCTCCTGGCTTCAGCCACTTGAAATCATGTTCAAAATCACCTGGAACATCAAGGAATAAGCATAGATGTAATTATTTTCTTCCTGCAGGAGTGATGAGTTCCCATTGAACCACTTGTCACATCACTGAGTCAATGTGTGCTTGCAATGGGCCTGTGAATATCAGCTTCTTTGCTGTGTTTTACAAAATGGACTTGACAAACTCCAAACAGCAGAAGGTCAGGCTGTAATTTGGAGATGTGTGCCTAACCCATATTGATGAAAATGGCCAACTAAATGTATTTTGGCTTCCTAATTAGCTTTCCACTGCAATGGGACAGATGTGGACAGAAAAAGCCCATGTGATCAGCCACATCCGCCTCACACAGGAATAAGTATGTATTATGTTACCTAGTAAGATGGGATCCTGTTGTAGGTCTGTAGTGCTCATTCTTGGGTGTTGTGTGGAAACTTCCCTGCTTATCCCATTTCTAGCCTGCTTCTAGGTTGGCCCATTTCTTCAATCCTTGAAAGGCTGGATCTATCCATAATTTTAATTGGTTTCAAAGGGGCATACAGAAACCACAATTCTCTGTGAGTGACAAATTGCTTACTGAGCTCCAAAATGTCACGCCCTGCCTGAGGCATAGTTTATAATACAGGCTCAATCCAACCTATTCCCAAATGCTGTCATTTTTACTGCCAATCTCTTAACCACTATACCTGTGTGAGGAGATAGTTCTCCTGGGAGAGCTTCTCAATGACATCAAAGTGATCTGTGTCTCCAAGGTCTAGCAAGGAGACCCTCCAACCTGCTGTACGAAGAGCCTGTGGTGAAGCAACAGGAATGTTAACAAAGCTGCTCTCATCATGGTAGTTACAAGTGCTTTTGCCCTAAGTACCCAACAAGTAGAAAGGCAGAACATAAATCAAAATAACAGCAACAATAACAATGCAGAGTGGGCAGATCTCAGGATAGGAAACTATGTATTTGGAAAAACAAAAACCAACAACAAAAAACCTCTGTGATGTGGGTGAGGCCAATACATTCAGATCTATTTGTCTTCTTGGGGAAGTTGAAGTGGCACAATGTAAGGGACCTGCTTGACAACAACTTGGGCACTTCTCTCCAAACAAACAAAAAAAACCTGGTCCAAATATGCATTTTTAGTCTTCTGGATATATACAAGTACACATTTTACATGCACATGCACTATTACTACTTTGATTTACCCCCTACTATTTCACACTGGGCATTCACGTTTGCTAAAAAACAAAACAATTAAAAACTGAATAAAAGCAGTTAAAATTATTAGTTATGCCTCTCAAAAGGACTGGCTGAAGAGGATGCAATACCATTTATACTTGGTTAAACCCATGTGAAATATTTCCGAAGGATCAAAACACTTGGATGCTTCTGTATCAAAGGGCATACACAGATTTTTTTCTTAACTACTTTCTCTGGTCATTGATTCTCTACATTCCAAATGGATGCTTGTTTGTAGTCAATATACCTGACAATGCTCCTGAGACTGTCTGCGGAACTCAGGTGAGTCGTGCTGGGCTACTGCAATGAGTATCTGACAAGCTTTGTTACCTTTCACCTTTGGCACACACCACAAAGGGCTATTCTGTCGGGCCACTGCACTGAAGAAAGAAAACACACGGTTGAGATAGTGCGGTGCTGAAAAGGAGGCAGACTTTGACAGATGGGCAGGCCTGTGAAGGAGGCAAAAAAAGTAGTCCTTTCTACGTGTAACTCTATTTTGAATGCACTTATCCCACTAGATGCAAATGAGAGAACTAAGTCCATGAATTCAGAAAATCTTGATGTGGGAATGTGTACAGTGTGTTTGGGATATGGTATTCATGCATATAGGCTGAAAAGGTATGCAAATGGAGGAGACAAGAAGCAAAGAAGCAAGTTATATATGCACACATACCTAGAGCGTACAGAAGGCAATGGAGAGAAAAATTCTAAATCAAAGATATTCAACTAATCAGAGATTTAAATTATTTGACTTATACTTGTCTCTCCCTGTACAGATCACCCAGGAAGTTAAAGGGCTATTGTGCTGGATTATATAAACACTGCAGAGCTACCTCTTCATCTGTATGTAATTAACACTTCCTGCTGGAAGTCAACCTGAAGAATTGGAAATTGCAAGAAACCCACTGTAGTTTTTCTGTTCTGCCCAAATTAAACAGTCTTATTCTAGGAGTGTTCCTTACCAGCTCATCCGTAGTAGATCATTAACATAGGTGTGTGTGATGGGCTCCAAGTCATAAATGCCACTCACCAAAAAGGCACCTAGGGTGAAAAATAAAAATCCACACTGTTTTAAACGGATTCCAGTTTGGTCTGACATCCCAGAAGTGCATGATGTCCAAGCAAGAGAAACTGAGGAAACTATGAGACAAAAAAAGAGAGAAAATGGGATGAATTTCTTCCAAACAATACCTTTGATGTCTGGCTCAACACCAAACTTTGCCCAATCTGTGGAGAGCACCATGGCTGCCAGGTGGGCTCCTGCTGAGTGTCCAAGCAGGTAGACACCGCTACAAGTAAAGGAGGCATGGTTACAATGAGCAGAGGAGAGGTGCCGACTGGGACAGAGAGGGGAAAATTGGCACTCAAAATCTACTAAGCTTGGTTCTGGACTTGTGCAGTGCAGTGCAGGTTATCAGTGGACCCCAAGCTTCTCTTTCTCAAGGCTGCGTGTTTATTGCCCATGCAACTTTCACAGGCCTTCCTACCTGATCCCTGTGTATTGCTGAACTGCAAAAGCCACACTACGCCGCACCTGCTCGACCATCACCTCCAGCTGGCCTGGGCAAACAGCACAATATCATGGTTAGTCGGAGGAGAGCAGGGTGGGAAAAATGCCTGCACCACCATAACGTACCTTTTGGAGCCACATCATAGCCAATTGCAGCCAAGGCAATGCCTTGGTTCACTAGAGGGTGTGCAGCAAAGCCAGAAACATCTTTGCTAGACAGAAAGAAAAATGTTAGTTGTTTATACCAGTGAATGCCCTCCATCTTCATCACTCCTCAGGCCAGGCAGCACATTGGTCAAAAAAGTGGTTCTCCTAACCAGGGTGCCACCCACTGAGGTCCAGCAGTCAGAAGACATGGACCACAGCAGCCTCCAACACAACTCACCTCAAGCTTTGCCAGTAGCCACCATGAATGTAGAGGACCAGAGGAAAGGCTGAAATGGGATAACAAGTTACCAAAGGCACCATCTGCTATAACTTTCCCCAAATATACCATCCCTCCCTTTCTTTGTTCATCTTGTCTTTCAGACATAGTATCAGCCCTTGGAGGTAGACAAGGTCAGGAAATCGACACCACAAGGACTTTTAAGACCTCTAGTTTTGCAGGGTATAAGCAGTAATAAGAGAATCTTGAAAGCCTGACAGAGTGTCTCTCTCCTACCTCTTATACCAAAAGAAGCAAGACGGGGCAATCTTGAGTTTCTTCTTCACTCCAGTCTCCCTTTCAGGGCTGAGGTTTATCTAACAGCTACATTCTTCAAGGCTATTTCCATACTTATCCAGCCAGTTAGATTTTTAAACCCTCCATTTTCCTATTTCCCTATCCTACTCCTTTCAGAGACCCCCTTGTACTCTTACTTTCAACATGTTTTTTAGGAAGATACACATCCAGTTTCTCTCCCTCACCGGAGCCATAGGGGACATTCAGCAGAGTTTGGGTGAATGCTTGGGCATTTTGAGTACCTGCAGAGCATTGGAAGAAAACACCAAGAAATGCAGCAACCATCCTTCCAAAACATATTTGAGCTACCCTCCTAAGAAGTTCCAGATGTCATGGCATCTAGAGAGTCACAACTGCATGCCATTCTGTTTGTTTCCTGGGAAATCAGAGGGCTTTCCCTCTTGATATAGCTCCAAAGGAAGGAGGTCTCCTTTTTATTGGAGGATTTTTTTTCCCAGTCTTGTCCAGCTCTTCCCAGAGTGTTTTTGTTTCCATATCAGGGGGTGGGTAGTCTATCGATTTATATGGCCTACTCATTAGAAATGCCATACCCACCAATTTATTTCAACATTTTCCACCTTCTGGAAAAAAGCTGAAGGCTGAGCTTTTCTGGAGGGCTTTGGGGGCCTTGTCTCCAGCTGTTGTGTTTTGGGCTTTCTTTGCCTTATTTTTATGCTGCTTTGTTTTATTATATTTCTTTGTCTTGTGAACAACCAAGAGTCCTGTAACTGCAGCAGCATGCAAATTTGATAAACAAACAAATAAATTCAGAGTTTACAAAGCAAGGATACACCTGCCATGACATGACTAATCCTGGCAATGTAATTCTGTGTTCATAAAAGCATTCATGTTGCCTGTTTTGCTGGAACAGACTCAGGCCCTCTAGTATATTTTGGCAATAAAGCCAGCCTCCAGAGGTACTGGGTGGTCTATAGAACGGCAGTCTGTCCGCTCACCCCATTATTCTGGCTCTTGGATAGCCCATACCTTCAGTCACTGCTTTTATGTGCGCCTCAATCACAGCATCCTTATCCAGCCGTGGAGACCACCTGCTAGGGGAATACTGAGTCTCCAGCTCCTGCATGGGAAGAAAAGAGGGAAACTTGTACAAATGCAACGGCATCCTCAATACAGAATGGGGACAATTTCAGAAATACTTGCAGATAAGTTACTAGCTGTGGGTAGGTAAGTATGGGAATAGCCTTGAAATGTTACTAACTTCAGCTAAGAAAAAGAGGGTAGCTCCCTTTGAGAGAGAGGCAAGAGGATGCCTGTATGAATTGTTGCCCCTGTGGATCCTTCCACCTGCATGCAAAATGCCTTGCTGGTATTTTTTTCTTCCTAACATTTTCCCGCAGGCGCAAGGTCTGCTTTTTTCGGATCAGCTGAGAGTTGATCCATTGATTGCAACAGGAATTGACCAACTGGGTTGTTGCTGAGCCTGACATTGTGAGCTGAGAGAGAGGGACTGGCCCAAAGTCACCCAGCCGGCTTTCATGTCTAAGGTGGCACTAGAACTCACCGTCTCCTGGATTCTAGCCTGCTGCCTTAACCACTAGACCAAACTGGCTCTCTGCCTTGCTGATTTATTTGCCTAGGGTTAATTAAGTTAACCTTAAATTTAACATTTTATGAGCGCTTATGTGTGCATGAGAGTAATATGCACCCTTCCACTCACATGCCATTTATTCCCCAGAATTCTCTTAGCCTTAAGACTAATAATATTGATCTGAATATTCAGCTGAGCAAGTCCCCTTTCTCCCCCTCTTGCCTCTTCTCTGAACCTGGGTACAAAACTGGCAGTATATTGCAGGAGAGCCAAGAGTAGGAGGAGGAGGCAGCATGGGCTGATCTCCTAAGAAGCCCTGAAGAGTAGCCACAGAAGCTCTTTATGCTGCAAGGGCAGTTGCATTGCAGACTCTTTCTCACCACAAAGAAGGAGCTGGTAAACCTTCAGGGCTTCACTTTTGTGCTGGGTGTAATCTTTGTGGCAGGGCCCAAGAACAGTCTCAGGTAGTGAGGAAACTAAACTTTCAAGCAGATGGGTAAGTCCCCTGGGGTGAATCATTTCTTAGCCTCTCTTCCAGAGCAGAATATGTTGATCCTCTCCTCTCCCCATTCTGGAAACTCCCAAATCTTTTTTTTGCGACTGTAAAATACACCCATGCAAAACAAACTCTGAAAATCTCTCTTCCCCCTCTTCCACAATCATACATGCACAAGCACTACAGCCATACCTCCTTTGTCATTTCCTGCCACTTTCCCATAGCAATGGCTAAGAAGGGGCTATGTTTCTTCTCCTGATAACCCTGCACTCAGGGTGAACAAAGTGAGCAGAACATGTGATCCAATATAGCCTCTGACAAAAAGTGCAGACCGGATCAGGTGTTCCTCCTTGGCCTGTGCCCCTCCAGCTGCTCTCCAAGATACGTCAGCAATTCCTGACCAGGGAGCTGTACTCATTGCTCATATAGGCACAGAGAGCAATTGTTTACAGTATTCGTTGTCATGTTCACTGTAGAACTGAGAGACTGAGTAAACTCAGCTCACTGCCTTCCTGCTGCTGCAATATTCAAGTGCACAAATTTGGGGGAAGACATTTTCTTAGCCAGGCAATGTTATCCCTCCCCCACTCCAGTTTGTCTAGTTTGTCTTAACCTGCTGATCTCTGTGTGTCTTGTATGCAAATTGTTCTCCCTTGCCTTCATAAGAATAGGTATGCTGAAAATGAGTCATTGGCAAATAGGCTAAAATTTAACAGTGCTTTTAAGCCTAGATAAGCTGAGAGGGCTAATCAACTTCTTAAAATAAAAGCTGCTTTAGAAAAGTTTTTTTTAAAATTTAGCATAGATCTACTTTTAGTTTTGATTGCACCCACAAGTTATTAATACAGGCAGAACATTTACATACTCAAAGCACTTTATTCAACCTGCAAAGTTATTTTCATGTATTTGCTTTAATATACAGAAATTAAAAAAACAATGATGTAAAGGAGAAAGAAAAATAAACAGGGAAAAGGAAGGAAAGGAAAGAAAAAAAGGACAAAAGCATATCATACATGTACTGTAGAAAACAGCTCAATGTTTAAACACAGCATTGAAATTTGATCACATAAACCTCGCAGGAACCAGGAAGCAAGCTCTCTCAGTGATGTCTCCAGCCCTGTGGAATGATATTCTCCAGAGAGCCTACTGCTTTCAGCCATTTGAATTTCTGCAAATTCTTAAAAACCTGGTTGTTCTCCCAGACCTTGGGCTAAGATGGTGGTTGAGCTCCTTTGATTTTTGGTTCTGTCTTCTGATCAACTGTATTCTTTTTCTTTGATATATGTCGTTTTCTTTAAAATGTTTAAATTCTAAGCCCTGTGTTGGACCCAAAACGGGGTTCTTGCCCAGAGACGACTGCCAATAACTTTGCCGGACACAAGAAACCTTTAGATGTTTCCTTTATTGTTGTGCATCAGTAAAGGGGCTACCTCTGTCAAAAGAGGCACACCGAACACAAAAGAAATTGGGTTTTTATACACTGAGTTTAAGAAAACAGAGTCAAAAGGAAGGACCATGATTGGTTAGGAGCCTCTTTATGACTTTGCGCGTCATACCAGTGCAAATTTAGGTTATTATCATGAATGACTGTCGGGTGACATCTTGCTATCACAAAGAGACAATATGCCTATAAGGGACAGTATACAAAACTAGGAAGTCTGGTATCATAAAGAGATAACATCCAGGGAAGGGTCATTTTATGTATCTCCACCATCAGGAAAGGGCACCAAAAGGAAGGGGAAATTACAGGCTAATTCCTCTGTGCCTTGGGAATTTTCAGATATGGGTTACCACATCCTTGCCCTAAAGACAGATGGGTCACTAAGATTAAAAGACCACAGGAATTGCACGTACAGAATTGCATATTTCTCCATTTCGTGCCCCTCACTGAGTCTCTGAGGAGTAGGGGAGCCTCGAAACTGAAATAATGAATAAATAAAATAAGCTGAGTTTTGATCATTCTTTCCATTCTATCAATAGATGGCCATAAATTGTAGCACCATTTTTCCATCATAAAAGTCTAATCTTTTCTGCTATGCCCTATGATGAATGTAGTTTTTCATATAATGACAGATTCCAAATTTTTGGTATGTAATTTGAAATCATATTCCCTTGCTTAAATCATATTATTATTATTTTAATATAATTTTATTGAAAGTTTTAAAAACAAGAGTAAAAATTAATACAAACTAAAATAGAGTAAGAAGGAAAAAAAAGGAAGAAATTAAAGAGAAACTAAAGTGCAAAAAGAAAAAAAGAAAAGAAAAAGGTAGAAGAAAAATAGTAAAGAAATAAAAAAGATATAAAGTGGCTTCCAATCTTCTTTACAGCTTTACAATTATTTTAAATTTTAAAATTTACAATTTTCTTTACAGTAAGTACAAGTATAGATTTACCTCTTTTTCTAAAGTTACATTGTGACTCTCTTCTTTCTATAATCTATCCTATCTATATCAAAACCATAGATCATGTTCATTTTTTTCTGTTTTACACAAAAAGTCTATAAGGGATTTCCAGTCAGTAATAAACATAGATATTGTCTTTCCTCTAATTGAACAGGTCAATTTGACCATCTCAGCAAATTCTGTCATCTTCACCAACCATTCCTTGTTGTAAGTATTGCCAAATCTTTCCACCTTTGTGCGTATAATAATCTGGCTGAGGTTATCATATATAAAAACAGAGTTCCGTGGCTTTTTTCCAACTGTTTATCCATCAGTCCAAGAGGAAAAGTTCTGGTTTCAGTCGAACCAATGTATGCATTTGAATCAAAAATCTTCTAGCTTTTTTACATGTCCACCAAGCACGATAAAATGATCCTTCTTGTTCACATTTCGAACATAAAGTATCTTTATACACTCTAGATATTTTTTCTGGTGTCATATACCAACGGTACATCATTTTATAAAAATTCTCTTTTATTATAACATAGTGTAAATTTCAATCCTTTCAACCACATATTTTTGCATTGTTCCATCTGTATATTGTAACCAAAATGTTTAGCCCACTTTATCATACACTATTTTACTTCTTCTTCTGTTTCAAATTTCAATAAAAGTTTATACATTTTAGCAATCACATGTTCGTCATTTGTACACAATTCCATTTCAAAGTCAGTCTTAGAATATTCAATACCATAAATTCTTTTGTCTACTTTGAATCTTTCTGATAATTGTAAATAGGAAAACCATTGACAACTATATACCTCTGCCATCAGTTGTCCTCTTCATTTTATTTTGTATTCCCCCTGAAAGAATTCTAGTATCTCATCATATGTTAACCATTTATGTTTGCCTATTACTCTTCATCTATAAAATGCTTTTTGTGCTGAGAGCCATAAAGGTGTCTTCAGGCACAACCTGGATTTGTATCTATTCCATATTCTCAATATGGCACGTCTAATGCAGCATAATGATTTTTAAAATCCACATTAACCTTGACTTTATCGTATGACAAATATCCGTGCCACCCAAATTTCATGTCATGTCCTTCTAACTCCAAAAGCCTTCTGTTTATCAGGAACACCCACTCTTTCATCCAAACCAAACAGCAAGCTGCAAAATACAATTTCAAATCAGGTAAACCCAATCCTCCTTTTTCCTTTGCATCTTGTAATACCTTATATTTAATTCACGTTTTTTTCCCTTGCCATACAAATTTAGATATATTCTTCTGCCACTGTTTAAATGGTGCATCAGTTGTCAAAACTAGTATTGTCTGAAATAAAAACATCATTCTAGGCAAAACATTCATTTTTATCACAGAAATTCTCCTCAATAATGACAACCATAATTTCTCCCATCTTAGCATGTCTTTTTAAACTTCATTCCATGTCTTAACATAATTACTTTGAAATAACATACAATTCATATTTGTCACAGTGATACCCAAAACTTTTATTTTTTTCTTAATCTTAAAATCCATTTTCTTAATCAATTTTGTTTGATCCTCTATGGCCATAGAAGACAGTGGTCAGCCACTGGACAGAGTGAAGGAGCCAATAGGAGCTAGGCTGATCTCTTCCTCTGACTGCATTCACCAGCTTCATCACTGGGGTATTAAATATTGTTTGCATGGCAAGACTTGTGTTAGGAGAAGAAGGGGAACACCATTTTAGCAGCAGAACAGCTAAACCAACTCCACAGCAGGTTCAGAATAAGACAGAGGAAATGTCATGAGGACATGTCCTTAAAAATAGTTAGCAAAACAACCTTGTGCTAAGTGGGATGTAAATGTGAGTCGTGAATTGGAATTGGTAGGTTTACCTATTATGGTGAGCCAAAAATTAACAAATGGCTATATGCAAAAATCATGTAGCTAAAAACAAACATTTCACCAGCTAAACAGGAAGCACTGAAGTTAAATAGGAAGAGGAAAAAAAGTCAGATTTTCTATTACTGTTTCAGTCTGAAAGTACTTGCTCCATAGTGTGCTTTAACCTGAGGATTCTGCAATCCTGGCCTCTGCAATCCCTCAGCAGTTCCTGGCCTCTGCAATCCTACAGCACTGGCAGTGTTTGAGAAGTGAGTTAATTTATTTCTGAGCCAGTTACGCTGTATTTGATACTGCAAAATGGGAACTCTCCCTTTATTCAGCTCCTGACTCCTGAACTCAGGATAACTATGAGATAACTATGACCCTCACCACAACCTATAGTGCTTTGGTTTAGAAGGTATCTCTGAGAACTTCCTTTTCAAGGCAGTTAGGAAGCCCACGAGCTAAATGAAACATCCAAGTAGCAGCCTGAGGCTGTATAGTCAGAATCCTTGTTTATTTCACTCTTACTTGCTGTGCCCAGGCTGCAATGCACCTTGAAAGAGTTGCTAGAGTGGCAAGGGTCAGCAAGCAATTCAGATCGGCATAGGCATCCATTCCTAACCACAGTGATACCAAGATGAAACATGTATCATGGCATCATGACACAAACTCTACCGATGCATCCTTGCACTGCAACTTTTTATGTGAGAATGTAAGGTAGAGTTTACCTTGTGATACATATTTCATCACAGATGCCTACAGACATCAGTACTGGCTGCAGTCCCCCACTCCTTCTGCTGCAAGACCAACAATCATTATAAGAGCTATTTGGAAAGGCACCTGGTTGCTATGCCTGCCCTGTGAAACAGCCTCTCCCCTAGAGATTCGGATGGCCTGGTTCCTGCAAGATGGCGCTATTTCACTGGGGGGACCTGGAGCATGCCCATTCTGCTTGATCTGGTGGGATGGGTAGAAACAACTTCGGGATTGCAGTGGGTTGGTGGAACAGCCAGGCTGGTGTTCCATCCAGACCTTGGCCACCACAAGACCTGATGGTCATTCCACTGTTCCTGCTCGTCTATGCAGGGAAGGCAAGCCTTGCTGACTGGCTTCTGTGTGAACCAGTCTATTAGTGTCTGCCTTTTCCCTTTTGGGGTTATGCCCTCCTCACTAGTCCCAGTGCCTTTCCTTTGCTTTTGCAGATGTTTGTATGCATGAACGCCTTCACACCTCCTTCCCATAGTATCTCTCTTGACTCTAACACATACTCTTTCTTTCTTTTCCATTATGGTACCATAACAGCTCCTGTAATGTAATACTGGTAGTCCTGAGTTATGACGGCAATTGGGCCTGGGATTTCCATCACTAAGCAATGTGGTCATAAAGCACATCACATGACAGCATCGCTTAATGATGGCAATCCCAGCAGTCCCTGTTGCCATTGTAATCCCAGGATTGCATGGGTTGTTAAGTGGGAAGAGGCAGGAGTTCCAGGCAAGCAGGCTGGTGGGCGAGAGCTGTGGGTAAGCTACAGGTGGGCAGGGGGGTACCGTGGGGAGGCGCTATGCAGCGCAGGTGGGTGTATGGATGCCACAGGCAGGTGCTATGAAGTATGGAGAGGGTGTGTGGGTGCCGCGGGGGGCAGGGGGGTTCTGCAGGCAGGTGCTATGGAGTGCGGGCAGACAAAAATGTGGCAGGAGCAGGAGTGACTTCTGACTTCCTGCTGGCTTCCCCATTGACTTGCTTGTGGGAAGCCAGCAGGGAACGTCAGAAATTGCAATCACATGACCGGAGCTCCCTGCAATGTCATAATCATGAACCAGGCACCAAGCGCCCAGATCACAATCACATGACTGCAGGGTCATAAGTCCCCCTCGTTTAGCGCCATCGAACTCTGAATGGTCGCTGAACAAGTGGTTGTAACCCAAGGACTACCTGTAATCAAAGCAATAGGGAACAGGTTGTTCTTTCATTTCTACCTTTCTCTTTAGGTCCATAGAAATTTTGTACTGTTATCAAGGAAGAACTGATAGTTCAGTTTCATAGAAACAAATTAGTGCTGTTCCTAGATGCAACTTAAATGTGTTAAAATAAAGGGAAGAGTAGGGAATTTTTGCAGTATGGTGGGTAGGGAAAACAAGAGGAATTTGCTTCATTTAAACCAAAAGGGTACTCATTGGGAGATGTAAGGCTTGAATGGAGCAAGAGCTTCAGGGTTGAGGATGGTTCATTGACTCAACCTCAGGATCGTAAAGAAACAGCAACGGCTGACCAGCAGAGAACAGTGCAGTCCAGCAGCCCAGTGTGAACTGGCTGCCCAGGGCAGGGAACAGCTGCCAGAAGAGAGAGGGTGTGCCAGGCCCTGCAGCCCCTTGGAACTGGGGGTGCTCCTAGAACAGAACGAAGCACCAGAGACCACCCATCCCGAAGGGCTTAAGATGGCTCAGGCTGGAAAAACAGCAGTTTTGAGTCAAAGCTGGAAGACATGAGCACAGGGTGCATTTGCAGGCGGGGGGTGGGGGAAGTGAGAGACGGGCAATGGCATCCATTCCTGCACTCAGGGAGTGGTGAGTGGCCCATTCTGGCAACAGGCCAAGTACAAAGTGCAGATCCAATTCTACTTTTCCACTTATTTCTCTCATGAGAGATTTAATGTACTCAGTATATACAAAATGTATGTTTGGCATTTATAATTGTGATAATTCAATTCATTATACTGTACTTTTATTATTTCAGCTGCAGGCATAATTGATATCTTTCTCCCAGTTAATTCTTTCCAGTTTAGTGCTGTGACACTGAATTTCCTGAAGCTCCATCTCTGAATCCTCAATTCCTAAAGAAGTAGGTGTAAGTATCATGTCCCATACTGACAGCCTTCCTCAAGATAGCGGTCTCAAAATTTTGTGACAAAAGCAGTTGTAATCTCAAGTTAACATTTAGACAACAGGCTGGGGAGGCTGAATGAATAATTTGGTTTGGGTTTTTTTACCTTCCATTGCCTTGCGACAGAAAAGATCCCTTATAGCAAAAGATGTTGCAACATAAGCAAGAAGACGCTCAGCCTGAAAAGCAAACAGAACATTAACAGCAATAGACAGGCAAGTTCCGATATGTCCTCCTTCCCTTCCCTTCCCTCCTTGCTTGCTTTGCAGAGCATGCTGGAAATTCACTTATAGGCCTTCTAGCAGGAATGTCGATGAGTACTTTCAAAGAAAAGAAAAAATTTCCCGCCTTGCCAGTGATTGGCCAAGACGCCGAGAAGTTCTTTTTTCATGATCTGCTGACTGGCGGGAACCGTTCCGATTGGCCAGTTGCTCTGGAAGACAAAAGCGGCGCGCGCGCGCCTGAAAAAGCCGCGTTCTGGGAATTCCACTCTGGAACAGAGCAGTCGGCGGGACGCGCTTGAAATTATGAATTGCCTGATGATACCGGGTGCGCGACCAGAATCCCCGCACAAGGCCCGCGGCCAGATACAGGTATGTGAGAGGACGATCCACTTTAAGAGTCTGAAATGATATTATCGTTAAGGAGTGGAGAGTTTTGAAGTTAGGGAGAGGAGTTCATGTGGGATGTGAGAAGTTAGTCTGTCAACAGACTACTCAATGTTTTTCCTCTTATCGCAGGTCATATTTGGACCCATGTTTTCTGGAAAAAGGTATGAATTTGAAGGTATTTAAAAAATAGTTTGCACTGGTAGCTAGATGCTTAACTCTGGCATGCTGCTCTAAGATGGCTGGAAAAGAAGATGGGATCTTCAAGGGAGAGAAATTGCTGGGTGGGCCTTATCTGCCAGCCTGGTTACAGTATATTCAGCTAGGCCCATGCTTCTCCTTGGCTCAGTAGACTGAGAATTAAATGTATGGCTGAGATAATATGTGACACATGTATTACAATACATACAAGAGTAGCACTGTCTTATTCTTTGAATTTTTTGGCTAAGAATTCTAGGAGTTTAAGCTTTAATATAATTCCAATATCAAACTGGAGAAGGCTGGAATAAGTAGGGCCATAAATTAACTTCTATTTCTGATACAGTATCTAAATTGGAAATGGCATAGCTTTGATATCTTGGGGGAATGTATTATTTGAGGGCTTAGATGCTCAGTTACCTTGAAGCTATATGATCCAGATTATCAGACTTGAGCACTTTGTGTAGAACAAGAGGCTTTAATCCATGATAGAATAAAAATGATTTTACTTTTTGTTAAGAGTACTTTTAGCTTTTTCTGAATAGCATTTGTCACAACAGAAACTTAATTCTTGTTTTGTAGCACTGAACTAATGCGCCGAGTCCGTCGATTTCAAATTGCACAGTATAAATGTCTACTAGTCAAGTATGCTAAAGACACACGCTATTGCATCAATGGAGTCTCCACACATGACAGGTGAAAACATACCAAGGGCAATGTAAAATAATAGTTTACCATTTGAGGAAAACATTTTACAGTAATGTGCTTTTTTAGTTGTTCAGGAAAGCAGGGTTCATGTATGTCTTGTAATATCATTGACTACTTCTGGATTTTGTTTATCATCTTCAAGAAACTGCACTTAGTGCTATCTCAGCATGCAATATATCTGACACTCTGGCCTTAAAACCTGTAGAGCGAAGCTTCCTATATATCTCAGCATAATATGAACTTTTAGTGAATCAGAAAAGGAATTTACAGATTATAATAGACAAGCATATGAAATTACTAACACCTGTGGATAGAAAAGACTTTTTGCCTCACAAAAATAAGGCAACTTCACTTCCTTATATAGTAACTTTCCCAATCTTGGGCAGTGATTTGTAACTATTTCATTGTACTTATAAATTAAACTGTTCTATGCACATCTCAATATTTCTCTACAAATGCAAACAAATATGAAATGGGACCTGTCACTTTAGGGAGAAGGAACAAGATTGCAAGAACAATCTAAAAGCTTTTGTTAGTTAAATGCTAGCTAATAGCCCAGGGCCCGTATGTGTGCAGTTGTTTTCATCATGAAATCCTTGTGAGAAAAATCATCCCAAACTTTATGGTTCAGTCAGCTGAATATAGCTTCTTTCTATAACTTCTGTTCTTTTGAAAGTTAAATGAACTAAAATTGTGATCCCCTAATTCATCATATTGGTTGAGCCCTTCAGAACGTCAAACTTTAAAATATTTTTACCCAAAATATCATTACCTATTTTCTATATAAATAGACAATTTCAAGGAGGTAAACCATTTTTCTACGCCTTTTATTTGAAACTGTCTTCACCAAAATGCTTGCTAATACATGGTCTTTAGAATTCAAAGAACTGCTGACCGTCTTAAAGCGAATCTGCAGGTTTTGACATTTGGAAATAGTTACCCTTAAATAGGTTTTTACCTGCAACAGATACTTATTTTTCTGCATAGATACACCATGGAGGCCATGTCAGCTTGTTACCTCAAAGATGTACAGCAGGAGGCTCTCACTTCCACTGTGATTGGCATTGATGAAGGCCAGTTTGTAAGTTTTTATATTACCTGAATGTTTAAATGAACTGTCATGTACTGATAATTGTTTCCACACTTAATAGAAGTTTGAATTTTTTACTTATGTAGGGTAAGACCCATTTTGTTCATTGAGATTACTTCTGAGAACACACACTGAGCAACAGTGACGATATGATAGATCCTTATATCCTCTTGACTTAATTTTAAATGTGAATAGTTAAAATACAGTCCTATGCCTGCTTAGCCTGGAGGGTAAGCCCCACTAAACTCAGTAGGATTTGGTTCTTAGCAAATCCGTAAGATTGTGTTATGAATACCATGTAAATGCTTTTAATAGCATACTCTTTAAACAAATTGAAAGTGCAATCAGACTTGGGAATAGAATTTTGATTAATTCATCTCAAAAAGAGCAACACGGGGTTAAAAAAGGACAGACACACCCCTCAGATGTATACAATTTGGCCCTCTTTAGGTAGGAAAAAAGGTCAATGGGGGGATAATGTATTAGTGTGCAAGTTCATTCTTTTGAATTGTAAAACCTAGAAATTAAGCTGAATGATAGAATTGCAACAAATAAAGGAAATACTTATTTAAAAGAAGATTAGAGCTGTTTATGGGGGATGACTATATACAATTACCTTTAGTACTAGAGAAAGTATATCTCCAAATATTAATTGCTGGGGAAGTTCAGTGGGAAGCTATGTTATACTCCTGTCCTGCTTGTGAGCTTCCTAGAGGCATCTGATGCAACAGTGGGAACAGAACGATGAACTAAATAGATCTTCAGCAGCAGAATTCTTATGCTGTTTGGAGGAACTTCACTAATTTTATTCATAACAAAATGATGGTGTCCTAAGGAATGGTGTGTTTTTAATTTTCCCAATTAGTTTCCAGATATAGTTGAATTTTGTGAGACAATGGCCAATGCAGGGAAGACTGTCATTGTGGCAGCACTTGATGGAACGTTTCAGCGGAAGGTAAATTACTTTAAATTCTTAAGTGGATTTTCTGGATAGCTTATGCCTCAGATCTACAAAGTATCTCATGGTTTCATTGCAGGCTTTTGGGAACATCTTACAGCTAGTCCCCTTAGCAGAGAGTGTGGTGAAACTAAACGCTGTTTGTATGGAGTGTTATCATGAAGCCTCTTATACAAAAAGGCTGGGGACAGAGAAAGAGGTAAGACTCCAATAAGAGCTCTCCCTTTCTTTAAAGGATTCCTATCTACTTGTGTGAGAGGTGTGCCCGTTATAGATCAAAAATAGCAAAACGTTTTACTTTTAAATTTCCTCCTTATCCTACTAGGTGGAAGTAATAGGAGGGGCAGACAAATATCACTCAGTCTGCCGGGTCTGCTATTTCAAGAACCAACAACAGTTGGTATCTGAAAACAAAGAGAACCTACCAGGTGGGAATAAACAGCTGGATATTAATGTCTCCAGAAAAGTCTTGGCTACCCATCAGATCACGCAATGGAGTCCATCTAATTGAACAAAGGAAGCAAGAGATCCAATTCCTGGATGGATTTAAGAGAAATCCTTTTCTGCCCTTCCTTCTAGCTTTTTGTTGTTAAATCAATGTTCCTCCAATACATCAGAAAGAGTTGTTTTTATGAGGAGCAACAAGGCTTGAAGACATTATAACATGCTATGAATGTGGATATTCTATGCTAAGAACTGCAGACTGATGCAGTGGTTCCTTAGTCTCTAGAGGGAAGATTTTGTAATGTCGTTAGTGGCATTTCCGTTTGCACAAAACTTCCCCAAACAGTTTAATTCAGAGTTTAAACGGCCGCAATAGCTAAAGTAGGCAACATTTACTAACGGCAGGCTGCACTATGAAACTGGAATGTTATTCTCCAAATCCATGAAATCGGTTTTTGTGGGGGGAGGGGGAATCCGTACTCTATTCAGTAGGTAGTTTGTTGACAATGAAGCAGGCTGTTGGGCTTTAAAGACTGAATATGCTAACTGAACAAAATACACCTTTATTTGGTACTGTATCTGCCGGTATTGAAACATCTGGGATATACAAGGTAGTTGTTGAGGCTTGCTAACTTAAAGAACAATCGCAAGGGTTGGAGAAAGTGTATGAGGCCTTTAATTACTGCCTAATCTTTCTGTATGGAGACTTGACACATTGCATTATTAGTTTAAATCTATTTTATTCTACAACTTTTGCTTTCCTAATTTATTAAACTGGCTACTAATATATCAGTCATTGTTTATATAATATATTCCTGCCTTATGTACTTTCTAGTATACTGTGTAGCATTTTGGTTTTACTGCTGTGATGAATATCAGCACTTCCCCTATTTGAGAAAATGTAACCTTTTGCACTGAAAATACGTCCTCAAGAGTACTTTGCTTCTGTTCTCTTAGGAGCAGAAGGGGTACTGTCTTCTGCAATGGTAACTGAAGTGTTGATTTTAATTAATGATGTACTGAATAAATAAAATTAATATCACTTTAAGTTTTATGTGTAAGGTCTTAGTATCAGATAGCTATGCAGCTAACCTTAAAGAATATTTAAGTTCAGCATGACAAGATCCTCACTACTGACTTAAAATGTCTTGTAGAGTTATCCAACCACTTTGTGTTGATATAACAGGCATTACATTGCCCTAATAATAATTAAGTGATGCTCTAAGTCACTAGTGGGGAAATGGCTATATGTATGGCATTCAGTGAGGAGGAATTAAAACTGAAAGTACTAAGACTGTTTTCCCTGGGAAGCTTAAAAATAATAACTGCCAGTAATCTTACCCTAGCTATTCTTAAACAGTACAGATGGTCTTCACATAAAAGCTACATAAGGAATATAAACCCAAGCAGTGAGCTACTGGAAGGTTCTTTCAGACAAAAAACAGCTCAGGCAATAAAGGTTAACCTAAAAGGGCTCATGCTGTTTAAAAACTCCACTGCTGTTTTTCTACAGACAATATACTCTTGCCCAGCTATTAATCCCTCTGAATTAAAGTATTTGTCCTCTCCCCTAAAATTATAGGATACAGCAAAATCCATCATACATTCTAAGGGATGCAAATAATCCAGCTTCTACTATGACAAAAGATTGCAGCGTTTGAATACCTGAAGTTTCCCAAAACATGCAATTAAGAAACAGCAGTGCTAGCAGCCACAGGCTATGGATACAAAAAAGCTGTTATCTGAAAGGCTTGTTAATGGGGATGTATAAAATAGTCTGTGCACAGAACAGCCATTTTTAGGTGGTCTATGCCTGAACTGAAATACACTAATTTTGGGTATTTGGGCCTGTTTTGTTCCAGGTGCAGACTAAAACACAGATGGTTTGGGGTGGGGTAAGAGTGGTGGGTAAGGGAAGGCACTGTGAAGATTAGGGGTGGCATGTGCTGTGCCTTGGGGCAAGGGATGTGAGATATGGGAAGATCAGGGCAAGTGAGGAATGGGATATGCTGTGCTTTGGTACTGGCTGTGGTTAAGAGGAAGGAAAGAAGAGTGGGCACTCAAAAATGGGGGTAGTGCCCAAGCCAAGTGGGTGGGGGAAGAAAGGCAACATGCCTATTACTCTATTCACCAGAAAAAACCTCCGAATTTTGTTGTGATCAAAACACAACAGGTATTGCAGTTAACTGTTTCTGCCAGTCCAAAAGTTCTGAACTTCTAGAATGCAAAGGCATTACAGGTTCGAAACAATGTATTTTCCATTTCATGCACATTCATATTTGTTAGTGATTTAGGGAAGGTTAGGAAAATAAGCTTTGTAAATGTGAGTTTATCTTCCTTTAGTAAATTATTGAGGACCTGTAGGTCACTATTAGAACACTTAATACAGGTCTCACAGGCTTTAAGGAGCCAGGTCCTTCCCACTTTGAATCAAAGAAAGGGTATGATACAGGCAAATCTAATTGAATCACTAATGCGGTATGTCTAAAGGTTTATCTACAAACGCTTTTAATTGGCTTTGGTATCAGCAGCTGAAATGATAGAATAAGGAAAGCGCTACACGTGTATTACGCAGTCTGGAAGCGCAGCACCACGGAACCATAGGAGCACCAGACCCATTCAGGGCCTGGAATGGTTGAAATAAGCAAGCACACCCAGGCACAGGTGTAACAGCACTGGGCAGATTGCTACTTGAACAGCAGTGGCAAGGATCCCTCTGGGGCATATACAGTAGAAGTGCAGTCTTCCTTTCCTGCAGAATGCCTCTAGCTATTTTCAGCAAGCAGCAGAGTTAGCTGCAGCAGCAAGAAGACCAGGTAGTCCACACCACTTCAGCAATTAATATTCCTTGCAAGTCACACACAGGCCAGAAAGCAAGCTTTCTGTGCCCTCAAAAGAAACAGCATTTACTGCAAGAAGCAAGTTTTGGAAATAGTTGGGGGAAAAAAAAACAATATCCCAGAACCCGACACATATACATGCACAACACGCAATCTTAGTTGTGGCACCCTTACATTTCACAGTAGACACAGTTCCCACCCCAATAAATGAATCCATTACATTAGGATGGCTATCCCTGCCAGCTGCTTTGAACAGTGTTAGTAGCAATCAGTACACAGGTGGAGGCTGGTAGCCCTCAGAGTTCTCTGCAGTGCGAGTGAAAGGTGGCTGCTGGTAGCTCTCGTGACTGACATTGGGATAGCTGGAGTATGGGGGTGCAGGACCTGGAGCTGGGTCGATGTAACTGTGGTCAAAATCTTGAACGCCCATCCGGTAACGCTGAAGCGCAAAGGCAATCAGGAATCCCTATGGAGAGGAACAGTTATTGGTAGGAACAGCAGGAATCTGCCCATAAAGATCTGCTTGCCGAGAAGCAAGTACCTTCTGCAAAACTGTCATCTTAGCACTGTTCAGCGAATACACCATCACATTAATTGATTTTGCCACACTGCTGCTTAAGTTTCAGTTCATCAAACTGAAAAAGTTACCTCTCACCAAGCCACTTCTATTGTAAAAGGCACACAGATGCATTTCTGGGATTCCTTCCACAAGGGTTGTTTTTACAGCCCTTCTGCAAAGCAGAATAACTTCCCCATTCCTCAGACAATTAGAAGGTTATGTTAATGACAGTGAGATTTGAATCACTTATTCTCTAGTTCTGTGCTCAGTTCCTTCATGAAATAGCAAAGGAATCATCAGTTTCATATCCCGTTCTCAGTATGGGCAAAGTAAGTCTTTAAGCTGCTTGATCTCCCTAGGCCAGTGTTTCTCAACCTTGGCAACTTTAAGATGAGTGGACTTCAACTTCTAGAATTCCCCAGCCAGCCATGGGGAGTTGAAATCCACTCATCTTAAAGTTGCCAAGGTTGAGGAACACTGGCCTAGGCTGACCACATTCATCTCTGCGGTTTTTTTGAGACAGAGGAAGAAGCTCCTACTCACCCATGAAAAAATGGAGAAGAAACTGAAGGCAATTGATGCACGGGCAGAATCAGCCCCAATTTGTACATCTTCAGGCTTTGTTGATGCCCACTGGTTTGTCAGCACACAGAATCCAATAAACCACAAAAAGGTCCAAACAGCTAGGCAGAAGAAAAGGGAGCACTTCACCACATACTTATAGATTATATGATACAGTAACATGAAAGTAACATTTTACTGTAGCTAGTTATGAAAGACTACAGTACATTAAACCTATTCCAATATTCTTCTTTTGATGTGCATGTCAGTATTGCCACATGTGACCAACGGCCTAAACCATGGGCAGGCTTCATACTAACTCAGTGACAGGCATTAGGCAACTTGATACCCTTCAAATGCTTTGGACAAGATATCCCAGAATCCTTGATCACTGGCAATGATGGCAGAGACTGATGAGAATTGTAGTCCAAGATGTTTAGATGGACTCATGTCTGGAAAGGCTGTAGTGTGTGTATGATCAGCCTGCACTTTCTACTGTAGCTAAGACCATTATAATGGCTTTCCTTTACCCAATAAGGATATCAGGCTGTGTCAGATAGGCATCTACTCGCAACAACAAAACAAGATTTAACTCAAGTTTTGTTTCACAATTAACCAAGGCCCAGGAGCCCAATGTTTTCCTTAGTTTGGAAGCATCACTGTCTTGTAACTTGGTAAAGCAACTACAGGTAGTCCCTGCTTACCAACTGGTCGTTCAGCAACCATTCGAAGTTACTACAGTGCTGAAAAAGGAGATTTACAACCAGTCCTCGAAGTTGCAGTGTCCCCATAGTCACATGATTGCAATTCAGGCACTTGGCAACCAACGCACATTTATGACAGTCGCAGTGCCCCGCAATCATGTGTGTGCTATCTGCAACCTTCACAGCCAGCTTCTGAAAAGCAAAATCAATGGAGAGGCCAGCAGGAAGTCACAAGTCACAATCATGTGACATTGCACTTAATGACCACAGCTGGAACTGATGTTGTAAGTTGGCATGGTCATGTGACTTTTCACTTTATGACCACATCGCATAGTGACAGAGTTGCTGGTCCCAATTGCAGTCAGTAAGTGAGGACTACCTATACCGACTTTTTATGCCGGGCATAAGACACAAAGGCTTAAACCAGAGAACAGGCTCCAGTTCTATGGTCTCTTATCCTTCAGCATTATCCACATGAAGAAGCACCCAGATTGCAGTCATCTGCCTAAAGCCACTTTGCATTCTCACAAAGCAAACCTTAGAGGGCACCAGTCCAAAAGATCCGAGCAATTACACACCCACATGCAAGGGAATAGGAGCCAAAGGGGAAAATGCTGCCCAAGTCCAGAAGTGAGGGAAGAGAAAAAAAGGAGAACATGGACAGAACTCAGCTATTCTACCTCGGGCCTTGCCTGAGACCACATCTCCGAGGAACATACCTGAGAAGGCTAAGTCACCCATAACAAAGTACTTGCGATCAGTGGCGCTGCTGATCTGCGGGAAGTAGATGTCGACCATAAAGAAAAATACACAAGCCAGGAAGGCAACCACGCCAATGGCGATACCATAACGACAGGCATCCTCGCTATGATTAAAGATGCAGTAAAGATCATCGGAATGGTGAGTATTGGTGTAACCTTCCCCGATGATGCAGGAGAAAACAATGAGTGCAAACACCTGCAAAATAGTAAAAGGGAAAAGGAAAACATCAGTGCTAACACTTTCCAGGGCAATGGGGGAACCCAAGGAAAGCATATTTTAACCACATCAACTTAACAAGTTACTAACAGACACCACCAAGTTCTGGACAAAAAGACTCATGCACAGCATTACCCTAGTGCAAGAAGCCAATCTGGAACATATGCACGCTGCCCAATCCCCAAAAGCCCTGGGTGGGCTAACAGTGTCATCATAAAATAAAGCACTGTTAGAAAGAAAAATAAGTAACAGAAGAATTAAAAACAAAACAAAACACAGGATCCTGGTCCAATGACAAAACCCAGTCATCAGGTAGCTCTGCTATTCAAGCAATATCCCTGCCCGACGGGTTATTCCCCATTCAGTGTTCATGGAAATGTTCTCACCTTTCTCTCCACAAACACAAGGAAGTCTATCTTAAAACAGTTTCCAGGTTAAAAAGCCATGGAATTCAAAATGGGGCCCCAAACCACAAGCAGTAACCAAGCACGCCCCTTCTTCCTTCGAGCAGATGCTTCTCAAACCAAATCAGCAGAGCAGACTTTTTGTGCGCGTGTGTGCAGAGACACTGGCTCGCTGTGGCCACAGCAGAGTTTTTTGAAGAAAATAACAGGATCTTCTTAAAGTTTTTTCAGCCACAGAATAAATTGCCTTAAGTCTTTAACTAATACTACCTATTTCCCAGGATCTCAGGCCGCCCGCTCAGGCTTCGCGGCTAAAAGAACGTAAGAGTATAGGAGAGTCGACAGACAGCTACGAACCACTTCCTTGTTTTGGCTAAGAAAACCAGAGGGACGGGTCGAGCTCGACTTGACTGGGTCATTATCTTTCTATGGGTACCTGGACTTCATTTTCCTAAATCCACAGTCGCTGCCCATGCGCAGCGGACTGCCACGTTCTTTGCAAGGCAGGGCTGGGCGCTCAAAGCAGGGGAGCGCGGAGCCACGATCGCGCTCAAGTGCCGGTCCTGCTCTCGCTAGACGGCCAGGAGGCCAGCCCTCTCGCGCCGCCCGCGGTCCGTCAGCTGACGTCCATATGACCAGGCTGCCTCACAAACAACACCCGATACAAACGGAGGGATTTTATCCGGCTGAACTGCCCAAGCTGAAGCAAAGCAGCGACCTTTCGTCACCTCCTTGAGGACCTGAAGGAGTCCTGCCAGGCGGGCGTCACGACACACGCGTCTGCTCGGCAACGCAAAGGGCAAGAATTTATCAACGATCGGCCGCTACTTTCCAAAGTGGCTCGCCGCCGCCGGGCTTCTGGAAAAGCGAGGCACCGAAGGGAAACTGTCCTAGCACCTGCCCTGGAATAAAGCAACAACCCCCACCTGCGAACAGCCCGGCCGTTCCTCCAGCCCAGGTTCTAGCAGGGGCCTCCGCTTCTAACAGCGCCCATGACTCTGCACTGCTCTGCCCTGCCCTGCCCTGCCCAGGCTACTTCCCTTCGAGGTAGCGGTCACAGCCCAGGTATAGGACAGTAAGCAGACGCCGCTCTAGTGGTCCCACCTCGCTGCTCCCGGAACAGCTAACCTATCGGCACTCCGGCCACCTCACGCACCCTCGTCCACACCCAAGCCGAGGGCAGGTGAGCCGCACCCATTCCACGCGTGCCCGTGAGAGGGGGAGAAAAGAAAAGAAGCGAATCCGTCTCCAGCAGACTCGAACCCACTGCCATTTCGAACTACGCCGGGCCAACGTGAGCCACTCACCGCACTCAAAATGCGTGCAATGACTTGTGGCTGCTGTAAGAAATGCCACGGGTCAAACGTGCCGCCCGCTTTAGCGGCTCCGTAGGCGCCTCCACCACTCTCCATAACGCTCTGACGCTGCTTTCCGCGACTGTCCCGGCCCGGAACTCTCTATGGCCGCCTCGCCCAAACTTGTGTTGAGCGTTCACAAGCCCCGCCCCTTGGGAGGAGACCCTGCCCGGGCGACGGAGGCAAGGTGGCGCGTGGCTGCCGAGAGCGCGCGGGAGCGAGGCTTGGAGCCCTGCGCGCCTCAAAGCAGTTCGCATCATCTTGCTTTCTTATTCAGAAAGGGAGAGCATGTGATCCGTCTTTACATGTTATAATGCACTTTCAGGCTGTGGTTCAAG